CAAGAACAGCACTGGAAAGTGGTAAAAGGCAAAAATTGCATAGTTTCTCAAGAAGAATAAAAAGTAATGTTACATTTTTCTTGGTCAACATTTTTAGACTATTATTGAGGCACAACAGTAGGTATAATAAAATTTCAGTTAACTAGACTATTTGAGGACAAGAAGATGATTTTTGTTTTGATTTTCTGGTTAATCCATAACTAGAAAATGCTTATTGTTAAAGAGCTTTCCAAAGCAGTTTCTTTTCCTAATTTTGAAACATTTGAACATTCTCAATGATTCAGCATGTCACTGTGATCAGCGACAAATATCCTCCAGGGTATGTTTCCCCCTTCACTGAAAACCAAAGCGATCTTGTTTTCTGAGTTTTGTCTCTGAAAAAGGGAAGTGGGGTGTGTGTGGTAGGGTGGGGTGTGTGGGAAGGGCTGGGTGGGTGTGGGTGAATATGAAGGTTAGTTAATTCAGGTTCTGGTTAGTCAGATTCCAGGTAGCTAAGCCATCAGTAAACATGAATTTGGCATCTGAAACTAGGCTCGTCTGATTCCTCGGAAACACGAGGGTCCACAGGAAGGGTCCCCAAGGGTCTGTCGTTGCTGGCTTTCTTTATCTTGTATCATTTGTCTGAGTGTGTATCAGTGTGTTCATCCTCAAATTATGGTCTTTGAACTCATGGGACTACATTTATTTTGATTGGATTCTATATCCATGTCATTTCAACTCAAGCATAGGATGTTGGTAGATTCGTGTGGACATTAGAGATGAATAAGCCCTTATTTTTGTCTCCCTTAGAATTGCTGATCTGAGTTTTCTTTTCTACAAAAACCTTTAATTCCATTTTCTTTTTGATATCATAGCAAGTGAGTCAGAAACTTCCATTGCTCTGTCCTAGTCTCTACTACCTAATTAAAGCAGCAGATTTGGAAAGTATGGCATGAGAATGAGGGGACTGACTATATATACATACATATATACATAAATACATTATATATATATGTCTTTTAACTTCGATGACATCATTTCACCTCTGTTTTGATTATACAAATTCCTTAAGCCAAACATACACATGTATGAGTGTATACCTACCACACACAATCTTGATACTTTAAGGAGAAGGTGGGATAATTTAGGATAACAATTTCTCAGTTTTTTGACACCATGGATCCTTATGTACTATGCCTCATGAATCCTACTCCTGGTCAGCCCCAAGGACATAGCCTGACAGTAGTGAAGGAGATCTGAAGAAAATATGGCTACTAGGCCTGATGAGAACCTATTGGATGTTTTTCAAGGTCAGCTTTCTAGAAACATTGAATTTAAAGCAAAATCCAAGAAAAGTAGGGTACAATGGACTATTCTGGTGGGTTTCAGCCTTCATGTTGGCCCCAGGGGTGCAGGCCACCCACTGACCTGCTCTGTGGCTTATGGATCCAATGTTGCCTGTTCTCAATAGTGTAGAGAGCTGATGATGATGCATAAATTATACTTCATTTGGACATTGTAAAGAGGCATCATAAAAATCGGAAGCCCCATAGTGGGGAGCCCAACACTATTAATTTCCTCTCAAAGCCTTCCTTTTCTACTATGTGGGACTCTTGTGGCAAGTCCTCATTCACTGGTTTCTCCCTATGTGTCCTCCTCCAGAGAACAAGGCCTGTCATAAGCCACAGTTGAGCACACAGCTCTGTGGCACTGTTGGCACCGTGCTCTGGGATTGAATCAGTTTATGAACACATTCTGGAAGAACAGGAGCAGCCCTGTGACAGGAGCATAGGTGACAGATTTCCTCTGGGTGTAAATGGCATTTTGGTAGAGACTACGGATGTTAATGGCAAATTTCCTTGATGGTTTCCCACAGGTGTATCTTTACTCCAATGGGAAACCCATTCCTAAGACTGAGGTATCCTGCTCAGCAGATCCTTACCTCTTCCATCTTTGGAAATTGCCCAAAAGGTAGCAGGAAAAGAGGGGTGAGTGGTGTCATGGTCTGTTTTTATTCCCCCCTCACAAACTACAAAGTCACCACCAAGAACGAATTAGTGATTCTGCCCAGCATTCTTGAGTGAAGGTGAGCCATGGTATTTGGGTTTAAAAAAAAAAATGTGGTAAAACGTAAGTAACAAAAAATTTTCATTTTAATCATTTAAAAATATACAGTTTTGTGACATTAAGTACATTCACATTTTAGTGCAACCATCCATCTCCAGAACATTTTCATCTTCCCAAATTCAAACCTTATATTCATTAAGCAACAATTACCCATTCCTCTGTCTCCAACACCCACAATTCAACTTTCTGCTTCTGAATTTGGCAACTCTAGATGCCTCATATAAATGGGACCATGTAATGGTCCTTTTTGCATCTGCCTTATTTAGTATTTTCAAGGTTTATCTGTATGGTAACATTATCAGAATTTCACATATTTTTAAGGCTGAATAATTTTTATTTATCCATTTATCTGTTGATGGACATCTGAGCTGCTCCCAGCTTTTGGCTATAGTGTATAATGCTGCTATGAACTTGAGTGTGTAAGTTATACATTCAAATTCCTATGTTCACTTTTGAGTGTGTACCCAGAAGTGAAATTACTGGATCATATGGTAATTCTGTTCAGTATTTTGAGGGTTTGCCATACTGTCTGGTATTCAGCTTTTTAAAATTAATATATTTTAAGAGCAGTTTTAGGTTCACAGTATTGAGTTTTACAGAGACACTCCAGGTCCTTGGAGGCCAAGTGCCCTGCCCAAACATGGAGGGGGTGATCCAGGCTGGAAACCAAAACCCAGATTCACTTGAGGAATCACAGAGGCCTTCTTCCCTCCAGAGCACAGGTCACCCTACAGGAAAGCATGATGTGTAAACAGGGAGGTTCACAGAATGGCAAAGCAGGAGGAACACAAGGGACATTTGATCCAAGTCCTTCTTTCACTTCATGGTGAAGATGCTTCATAAACTGACAACTTTCCTTCCAAATGCTATATGAAATAACTAGCACTTGATAGAGATGGTAAAGTTTTTTTAAAATTTTTATTTATTTATTTTTTACATGAGCTCTATTATTATTATTTGCATTACAATTCTTATTACACCTTTATACCACAATTTATCTTATCTTTGTATATAAGATATGTTGACACCAAATTCACATCTTCATACATGTATTTTGTATAATGATAAGGGTCTCCTTCCACCATCGATACAATTCCCCTTCTCCCTCCCTTTCCCTTCCACCCCTCTTGAGATGGTAAAGTTTGTAAGGATACAGTAACTAACTCTATCACTCTCAACTCTGTCATCCCTTATACCAACCCATTCATCCTTTGGGCCACCCCAGAAGACAGCTCTGGGTTAATTCCACTCTAGAATATTCCACCACCTATCACTTTTTGTCTTCTCTTCCTGACCTATTTCTGGGATTTGGGGCTCCATTAATGTTTAGAAGATAGATATGCTCTTTCATTACATAGTTGCTTGGCAATTGCTTTATAAACAGTGATTATTCTCCATTCTAGAGCATTATAATAAAAGAACTGTAAATCCTGAGTACTGCTTTGAATGATAACATTTACCATATCCAAGAAAAATGTTATAAATCACAGTGCTTCATCCACAGATTTAAAATGCCCAGCAATTTCTTGAATGTTTTCCTGGACAGCATCAGTCATACTATTTTTACATTCATATTGATTCAATGAAGGAAAAGAAAAAATGTTTAAAATTTCTAAAATGGGAGCTGGAGATATAGCTCAGTGATACAGTGCTTGCAAAGCATGTGTGAGGCCCTGAATTTAATCCCCAGCACCACACACATACACACACACACACAAAAAAAAAAAAAAAAAAAAAAGAAAGAAAGAAAAAAAAAAAGAAAGAAAGAAAGGAAGGAAGAAACACAATTCCTAAAATGAGAGCTCAGAAATATGTAAAATGCATATCCATTCACATGTGTATAGTTGTGTGTATATTCATATATATCCAGTGTGCATTTATTTAGCCAAACTCTCCTACTTCTTTCTATTATAATGGGATAAATAATTCTTATCCTTGGAATACAGGTGATTGACCTGTTTGATAGCTAACATACAAGCCAATCCTCAAAACATGTCAGTCCTGGGAACTTAGACCCCACAGAAACCTGAACTTGCTGACTTGGGGTATTTATTGGAGATGTTGTCTCCCTCGAATGTGTTCTGGAAATCAAGTCAGACTTCAATGTACGAAAGAGGAATAATACAATGATGATTTAGTTTGAAAGGTGACAATACATTCCCAACCCAGGGGAAAAAAGATTTCTCTTTTTGAGTGTATCTAAAAGCATGATGAGCACACCTGCTAAAGGACTGCAGTCATTGTTTTAGACTAATAACAGCACCATTAGTCACATCATTTGAAAACCAAGGGCAAAGAATGACTGAGACCAGTAGGAGGAAGGCTGGCAGGGAGTAATGGCAACTATGTGGCCGGATTTTCAAGTGTGAAGGTCCTGAGTAGACCCTAAAATGATTTGTTGAGATGTGTCAATGCATTAAGTAAAGTTTTCATATAATAATTTAATAGTTTTTAATACTAAAGTCACAGTTTTATATCTATCATTCATCTTTCCAGTCACATTTGAGTTAAGGTAGTGATTCTCAAAGTGGAGTCCGTGACCTGGCTACACTAGCATCACTTGGAAAACTGTTGGAAAGCAAATTTCTGGCATTGACCTTGAATTCAGTAGAATTCAGATTTACTGAATCAGAAATTCTGGGCGTGAGGCCCAGCAATCTGTAATTTAACAAGCCCTCTAGGTAATTCTGATGCAAGCTTAAAGTTTAAAAACCACTGAGTTAAGGAACCGCTAACATGGAGATTCCAACCCCTGCTCCTTTCCTCAATTATAACTCTCATGATACTTCGTTAAAACAAAGGTAATGCATATTTGCTTAAGCTATTTGTTACTATTACCTAAGAAAACTTTTATATTGTTTGGTTAAGGAAAAGAAACCTTAGTCAAAACTTACATATAATTTTTCCAGGTCCTGTCCTGGCTTCGAGTCTTAGGATACAGGGAACTGGGCGAAGGGAGAGATGAGAAGGCTACAGCAATCCATTCAGACATGGACCCCAAAGTTTTGCAGGGCAACCTTGTGATAGGTCAGTGAGTGTCCACCTAGTGGAGAAGAGTTGTCCATTAATAAACTTTGAAAGTGAACAATTCCTGCCTTGCTCCTGCTATCTCACACCTGCTCTTTACAACCTCTCTACTAACTTCCTGTCTCTCTGGCTGTGTCTTTTGACCAAGTCACATAATAGAATATGACAAATGAGCCCCCAAAATGCCAGGGCTCCACCAAGGTAGAAGCCCTATGACATTTATTTATTTAAAAATAAATGACAGTGAAATGCTTTATAATTCTTATTACACATATACAGCACAATTTTTAATATCTCTGGTTTTATATAAAGTATGTTGACACCAATTCGTGTCTTCATACATGTACTTTGGATAATGATGTCTATCACATTCCACCATCCTTACTAACCCCCTGCCCCCTCCCTTCCCCTCCCACCCCTCTGCCCTATCTAGAATTCATCTATACCTCCCATGCTCCCCCTCTCTACCCCACTATGAGTCAGCCTCTTTAAATCAGAGAAAACATTCGTCATTTGGTTTTTTGGGATTGGCTAACTTCACTTAGCATCATCTTCTCCAATGCCATCCATTTACCTGCAAATGCCATGATTTTATTCTCTCTTATTGCTGAGTAAAATTCCATTGTGTATATATGCCACATTTTTTTTTCTCCAGTCATTCACTGAAGGGCATCTAGGTTGGCTCCACAGTTTAGCTATTGTGAATTGTGCTGCTATAAACATTGATGTGGCTGTGTCCCTGTTGTATGCTGTTTTTAAGTCCTTTGGGTATAGACCAAGGAGAGGGGTAGCTGGGTCAAATGGTGGTTCCATTCCCAGATTTCCAAGGAATCTCCATACTGCTTTCCATATTCATCAAATAATTGACTTGTAAAGTCTGACATTTTGTTTCTTTGATACCTTAAATGTGTTTATTTTAAAATTAGCAATATTTATTTTTCTGATGATGAATTAATATGTGCTTATTGTAGAATTTGTGGAAAATATGGAAGGTATAAAATAAAAAATTAAAGAGTAATGGCAACGTTGGCACCAGTGAAATCACTAGTGATGTTTTGTTGTGTGGGTCCTTAACCCGTAACTCCTGGGGGTGGACACAGTTCAGAATTTAGATTATTTCTTTTAGATTTTAGAGAGTATTGTGATGCAACTACAACTCATTACATATTACCCCAAGGGATTCTGGAGTAGCACCCTTAATAAACACATTGAATAATTCTGTACAAAAATAGAGGCTTACTTTTAGTAAGTGGGATAAAATAGTGCCTTACATTAGTTCAGCTCAGGTTTTTCTACCAAAACAATTACAAATAACATAATGTGACCAAACAACCCCCCAAAGTTTTTGGCTTTAGAACTGGGGACAAGTTCTTAGAAGATAGAAGATATGCTCCTTCATTGCATAGTTGCTTGGCAATTGTTTTATAGAGCAGACAAGGGATTGTGGATCAGTATTCTTTTCAGATACACAAACATATTCAAGAGCTTTGTTTCAACTTTTTAAGTTTAATTATGAAATAAAATGTAAGTTATATGAATGCAAATATTTTCCTAAGTTATTAAAAATCACTTACAAACATGCTTTCTAATATTTATGTGATTTTATACTCTACAGAAATGCATTTTATTTGACTATTTCTTTCAGTTTTAGAATTACAGGTTTTGTGTTATTACCAATTTCACTTTGAGGGATATATCTGACTATCAGATTTGTCTAAACTTCTGGACATTTTCTTAGGTGCCTTTCTAGAGAAAGAATTACCGAGTCAAGTGGCTTGAACTTTAAGGGTCCTAATGACCTTCTAGAGAGGCCACATGAATTTACACTCTTCCCAGAAGCATGAGTGCCTGATGAATTTGCTAATTACCTACTTTATTATGGACACAGAAAGATCCAGTCGCACCCCACACATCTTTACAAAAGTTCTAATCAGTGGTGATCAAACTTAGGATATTTTATTTTATTTTTTCTCAGACGATAAAGAGCATCTTGCTGTTTTGTCGTATGTCATTTGAAATGGGGTTAATGTAAGTTCACCATTGAGTGGACCTCATTAGGCCCCACTGAGTCAGAGGTGCACAATGGGAAAGTCATGACTTGCCTATACAACTTAACATGGAAGGGGTGTGGGAGTATAGACATAATTCACATGTTACCAATGAGAAGGAAACCACTGATTGTGGGCTGAAGATTCAGCTTCTGCAATCCTGAGGGCTTTGGCTTCCTTTCTTTTCATGTTTTCTTCTTTTTAGACATTATGCTGTTCCTTAGCATGGCCTCAGAAACAGAAGGAGATGTGAAGACAAAATCAATTATACACACTAATAATGATGGCTCACCTTCACATGTGTTTCAATATGCCATCTCTGGTGCCATTTGTCTTGCACAGGTTAACTCATTTAATGTTGGGTGCACTGGGATAAGAATAAGCGGCTGGCGAGTTTTGAAAGTATGTGCCCACTCATCAGGCCTTCTTATGCCCTAATATGTTTGAAGGAATGTGAGCTTTGTTATTTCAATGATCTATTGGAGCCTAGTGTTTTATTACCATGATGCCACGTCTGACTGTAAATCATGAATGATACTTTCCCACTCTTTTGCTAACACCATCTATAGCTCCTACACAAAGCAGAAAAATGGTGCAAAGTCCAAGAAAATTGGAGATAAAAGTAAACTCACTGAAGGTCCTGTATTGGCATGAAGTGCATAATAGAAAGATGAGAGACTCTTACACAATACAAAACAGGTGTCCATGGAGAGACATGGGGGCATATCCATGATACATATTTTAACATGCATATACACGAATGTATTCTTCCCAACAGTGAACACAAATTAGGATTGCAACAGCAGGGCTTTCAGCCTCAAGTCCCTTTCCATTTATAGATTTTTCTAATAAGCTTTCTTTCTTTCCCCCTTTATATATATGTGAACTTACAGAATATTTGGTGTAGAGAATGCCACAATTTCCATATGCTAATAAGAGAAAATTAAAACATTTTTTTTTTGTTATATGGAATGAAATAACCTCACTCTTTCCCTTATCTATAAACTCAATTTCTGCACCACATACTATAAAATGGCTAAGGTGTAGGGGGAAAGGGTTCAAAATGTTTCAACTTTACTCTGGAAGTGAATTAAATTTATCTTTCCCAATAGTCTCACTTAAAAGTAGGAATTGTTTCTGTTAAAATGATCCAAAGACCAAAGCTGTATTGAGAAGTGGACCATTTCCTTCACTGTGGCTTCTCCATTTATAATTTAAGAAGTATTCTCCTGAAAATTGGGTATCAAAGTAGGTAAAATGACTTATAAATGATTTTTCTTTGCCACAATCAGATGTATGGTTAATTTTCTAAGCACATGAGGACTCTAAGATGTGAAAAATAAGGTGGTAATAGAGGAAATGACTCCTCAAAGAGCCTACTTTATTTTTTTAATTGCTTGGGTGGGGGAAAATCCAAAAAAAAAAAAAAAAATCACCACTAATAACACAAATGCTTTCCTGAAGCTCTTTAGATCCTCCAACTGTATAATCAGTATTTGTAAAGCTAATTACAAATTTGGATACTCTCATTTTAAAAATATACTTCAAAGCAGCCCACTTCTGTTTCAATGCTGAACCAAAGTCTGTGCAATTGGCACATTATCAAAGAAAAATAAATAAATAAATAAAGTGCATCACTGGAATAAAGTTACTACCTTCAGTGTCACTAAATCTTGAATGCCACAGGCTAAACACTAGTGATGCCACATGGTTATGTTATCTTACGTAAAAAGAGTGTGCAGCTTTCCAAGCCACGAGAGATGTACAGCTTTCTGCTCACACTAGCTTTTTTCTGTTATGTTGGGCAGGTGACTCACTGCCTCGGAGCCTAACACCTCCCACAGGTTCTTGTGAGGATTAAATGAGAATGTGTACAAGAGTGTTGACACACACGGAATTCTGGGCATCATTTTTCTTTTTACTAACAATTTTGTGAGGTATAAAGAAATCAAGCTATTAATCCCCATTTCACAGTTAAGGAAATGGACAGGAAGATGTTGCAAAACCAAACAAATAAAAAAGTTTCACATTAGGAGTTTTATGTCTGCATCAGCCACAAACTAGATGAGTGACTCTCAGGGACTGGATTTATTGGGTAAAATAAGGAGGCTGGATGAGAATGGTTATAAGGTCTTCTTGAGGCCAATGGTTCTGTGATGTGAATCTAGACCATAGCAGTGATAGGGGAGGGGAGTCTCTGGAAAGACCCTGAGGAAGTGGTGCCTCCTAAAGACATGAGGCTAAAGGCAGTGCCCACCAGTTCAAGGCCTGTCGTGCTGGGAAAGCAGCCTTGAGTAGTCTCCTACCCCTGGGGCATGGGACAGACATTAACTTACTCATTTGGTGGACTGAAGAGAGGTTTGGAGAATCCTAGAGAAATGGCTAATACTGCTGGGGCATAAGAAGAACGTAGTGGAGGGGCTTAAAACAGCAGGTCTTTATTAAAATAGTAGTGTAGCTAAACAAATTTGTATCAACTGAACGACAGTCTTGTCAACAATATCAATGTTATCTGGCTATCGGTCTCAAAGAGACAGCCACCTCGGTGGGCTACCTATCTTTCGTAGGTTGAGTTCTTGGGGCAAGAGGCATAAAAGGGCTCTTTGTATTGAGTGTACTTTACAGTCACATGGGAACTTCACTTTTAAAAACTGAGGCCATTAACTTAGGCCACTATTAATACTCTAATGGTGCTGTCTAATACCACTTTCTGTGCTGATGGAAACACTCAACCTTCGTACTTTTCCATTATGGTAGCCACCACCCTCATGTGGCTGTTGAGTACTTGAAATTTATCTTGTGTGAATAGGAACTGAATTTTAACTTTAATCCATTTTAAGTAATTTAAACTTAAGAAGCCACATGTGGTTAGTGGACAATACAGCTAAATAGATTGCCTCCTATCTTAGCTTTCTTGGAGGTATGTCAGAACCCAGAAGCCCACAGGACAACACCTGACATATTCATT